GGTGTCATAAAATTTCTTAAAAGTAAAAAAGCAAATTGTTCCATTTTTATTATTGCCGATAATTTATAATGGAAACACTGGTCCTAAACCGAGATTTATATGCCAGCAAGAGTATGCTATTCAGTTATGCTATCAAACATTATGTCACAGGAGCTAAAAAAACAAAAACTCACTGTAGGCAATGAGAAATAGAGAGCAAACTTATTCCGAAAGTGTTAGCAACTTAAGGAAGAAGAACAGGACTTCCCTGCTCTTTTACTGCTGGATGGAAGATAGTTGCAAAAGGCAGGAAAGCTAAGCGGTGCAACATGAAGCTGCCTCCTTCCTTTTTGCTGGAAGGCTCACCCATCCGTTTTCCCTCAACCAAAGAATGCATCAAATATCCTCCCCTCCACATAGGTAAACTGAAGCTTAGCAGTTTACCTAGACCACACAAAACTTCCCTTTTCAGTGTGTCACATTATTATCTAGTGACATTGCAGTAATTTCTCAGTCAGGCTCCGAGAGGAAGCAGAGTAGAGAGGAAGTAGACAACACTTACGTGTACAAGATAGACAGTTTTTAAAAAATTCTGCTGTAGGTAAACAGAAATGCTAGAACCACCACAGGAAAAACCACTCCTAAACTATTCTGTTGTGTAAGACCTCCTTAGCTAGCCTGTCCTGAAACGCAGCAATTTCATGGGCTACTTTTAACAGTCTGTTTTTGTCAGTTCTTCAGCTGCACGCACTTAAGAACTGTGCTATGAACTTCAAGACCACCCTTTCCAGACAGATATATTTACACTGCAAGCTGTTACCCAACTGCCTGAACTTAATTTAGCCAACACTATCTTAATTTATCTTCGTGAACGGGGAGGCTGAAGTCTTTACGGTCATAATTACTTTTTTCCAACAGGATGACACTGCGTTCATTGCACAAGACAGAAAGTACTCTCTAAACGATAGTGATTCACTTTTTTCCCCCCTCGGCTTAATGCTTACTCGTGGCTTATTAACTGCACACCACCCACATTGTCTGCTTAATCTGAAGAGCTAGAGCCTGTGAGCAGAGGCTCTCTGATAACAGAAGGATCTTAAAACCCACTTCAGGGAACATTCACATTTCCATTCCTCCCTTTCCAGGGTTTGTTAACTCTCAGCTAAATCAAGTTTCGTCCTTCCAGCCAAACTAATGGTCATCTTGGCTGCCTCTCTAAATACTCTTATACTCCTTGAACGTAGGCACAGCTGCATTATCCATCCACATGGTTAACACAGGTAAAAACTGCTCTGGTGCTTTGCTAAGCCCTATATTATAATATTCATTAATATTAACACGGTGTTAATATACTGTAAGGCTGAATAACTTTCTCCTCTCATCTGAGCCATGCGCAACCCTACCTCATGGAAAAAGCTGTGCTATGAGCCTCATTTCATACAAACGTCACTTACCAGCGCGTTACCTGATCACATAAATGGGATTATTACCTACAGCACAATACAGGCTCACCCAAGACCTATCGGAGCAACCAATTCATCCACCACTACATACTAAAGCAGCTTTGATGAAAAAAAGACACGCCTGTATCAGATGCAAACCTACAGCTATACTGAAACAATTTACATATTTTCAGCTAAAGACACTAAATGATTAAGGTATACAACAGTATTAACATGGGCTCAAATAACAGTCTGCATGTTTGTGTCCACCAGCCTTTGACATTGGACCCTTTTTAAAGGGATTACAAACTTTCAGTGATTTTACCTTAACCCTGTACACCATGCCCCTTCCCTTTCCTCTCCCACCCACTCAGTGCTACTGTCCAGCAAAGGTCAGCACGTTGCAAACCCTACGCTTCCAACCACGAGCAGTATTCTGAAAGTCTTCAAGACCAAAGGCAAAGGTGAAAATACTTAATGAACTTTTTGCTGTTGCACATTGCTGCATAAGGGAAAAGTCGGGCCACAAAAAGAACCTCCTTCTTCCCTTTTATTTTCCAGTTTTACTTATAAAATATGGATTAGTCAAATCTGAATTCTCTTCAAGTGACGTCTTCCAAGTTTAAATTAAGCATCCAGCATCTTTAAAACAGTTTGCTTAACATACACCTCGTGACAAAGACCATGTTCAGAACGCGCACAACGTTGCTGCCTCCTTCACATCCAAAAAGGCATAAACTAAGGAAACAGAGAGGACAACATAAAAAGCCTGTACTGGCAAAGGAACTCTAGCTACTGGTAGATAACCTTCCGCTCACGCTGCATTCTGAAGGATGAGAGTTGCTGCATACATCATTTCTACATTTAAACAGTAAAGCTGCTGGCTAAGTATACAAAAGCAATATTTGTACAAAAACAATACTGAAGAGTAAAGAATTACATTCGGGTCATTTGGTTTATATCCCATTCTTTCAAAATGATTATACTACCACATTACAGTGACTTGTCTAGCCTCAACAGTACAGACCAACTGTACCCAGTATCTTGTAAACTATCCCAGATCACCTTCAGCCTTGTGCAGAGGTCTCGATTTTCACATCTATCTCAAGTGTTTTTCTTAGCTCTTCCAGCAGTAACCCCAAGCTGTTATGCATTATAAAAAGTGATCTACTGCTCCCTGTCCCTCTTTGGCCACGATAACAAAGACTTTTTGTTCAGTTACCTCTCTCTAGCTTCATTTTGCACCCAAGGATACCTGGTTTTGCCTCAAATAACTTCAGAAATCAACTTTGATGCATGGGAAATAAGAGATAAGCAAACACTTTGAAATGCTGTGTTTCAGGTTTTCACCTCAATGACAGCCTCTTAAGTGAAAGCAATAAAACTGATCTAAATCTGACTTTATTTTCCTAAGAATTTGCACTCAAAGTACTAGGACTGTTTCTTGGCTGATGTTGATTCAACTTATCTCAATATCTAGAAAATACAAGACAAGCAGTCCTTCCAAAACTTCAGGCACTTACTGAGTGCAAAACAAGTTTTGGGAATGTCTTATCTACTGCTTTAGGAGATAATAATTTATTATTATATTATATATTATTAGGAGATAATAATATTTTAAAAAGTAGCAACTAACTGTTGGTTAGTTGCTACTAACTGTTGCAAGGCCAAGCAAACCATTGCGACAGAGGAAACTTACCCAGCTATACTTCCTCCACAGCTAATTTGTGTAAGGCATTCTCTGAGCTGTGCTTCCTCGCTAGCAGGATAGGCAAAGCATAGTTTTATACCCAAGTTCAACTGATGGCAGTATTAATAGAAGGAATGAAGAAATATTGAAGTCTAACCAAACTGCTGTATGACTTCATGAGAAATCACTGAAGATCTTATCATTGAAACTTGGCTTATCTTCTGTTAAAGCAGACTTGGAAAAAAACAAAATAGATTACAGAACCTCTGAAGGTTCTGCTTTTATAAGCATCTGAATTCAGGAGGTTTTCAACTGAAATTTATGACTCATCATAAAAATAAAGATTTAAAACATTCAGTCTTTCCCTTACCAGCATGATTTACTGGAATACCAGATCTTTTCTTCTTCCTCTTCCCCCCCCCCCCCCCCCATTTCTTCAGTCAAATTCAGTAGTCTCTTTCAAATGGAAACAGGAACAATATAGATTAGTTGCACCAATGACCCAAGTACTCTCCAATCTTATGGGCAAATGAGTAACAGAGTAGGCAACAGTATTAAGTTTGTGCTTTCATCTTGAAAATGGAATCACACATTAAGGTGATCCCTGTAAATAAGCAAGGTTTTGTATAGGCACAGAAATCCATCCGCAGGTTCACTTGCGAGACAAATGCCTTTTTTTGGTCTTGTGAAGTCCCTTTGAAGTTTGGTTGTTTTAGCCATCAACCAAGAAAGCAAGCAGGAAGCATCAGCAGCTCAGGCTCACACCTTTTAACGTGAGAAGAAGCCATGCTCAGCCCCAAAAGCTCCTCCATTCCACCTGCGGGTTCCTGCAAAGCTCTAGCTGGTGGCACGTCCTTCTGTGCAGGCCTTTTATCTGTCACTGACAGCAAGTTGAATGAGGCAGGGCTGTCTCCAAGTCTAGACAAGGTCTTGGAAGAAGGGACTTTCCTCGTTTGCTTTCATTGCCAGGGGAGATCCATACCTTTTAGATACATATTAGCACCCTTTACTGCTGGTGCCACCACATGTTTGAAAAAGATAAAGCAAACTCTAAGCTACTCATATGGGATGATATGATTACAAAGAAGCATTGAAAAGAATTTTAAAATTAAATGTTTGCTCTGGATTTTGAAAATGTAATATTAAATACATGTGTGTCTATATACACATGCATATATGTACGTATATACACATGCACACGTGTGTATGCGTGTGTGTGTATATATAAGTATATATAAAAATATATAAAAACAGGCACCTATCTTGAAGATGACTGGTAAAGACCTAGTCAGTTAATGAGAAATTGTGTACTCAGCAACTACGGCAGAAAACTAAGGGGTGGGGGGAAAGAAATTATCCTGTCTACTTTACCCTCCCCCCGAAATCCAGTTTAGATATAGCAGCAGCTATAAGGAATCAGTTTATTTCGCTTATTTTTAAATATATATATAGACTTTGGGAACCGGTAACCTCAGCTTCCAATCACATCATTATTTTATGGAAAGGCAACATCAGAGCACATAGAGAAGTTATATGAAGTTACAGCCAAAGTAGCAAGTCAACTATGAAGCGAAGAAATATTGCACACTGAAATGCTTATGATGGCCAATTCCTTCAATCATTTCATCTAAAGGACCACATATAATAGTCAAAACACAAGCATACAAGTCCCACCATACCCTGCCCGTTTTTCTGCGGGAAATAACAGTGCAAAAGATGCAAATACAGCATACTATTTCACACCAGCCTGTCTCATCCACCAAACAAATCTCTTCCACAAGACAAGCAGGGACTATCCAAACATACTTTGCCCATAAGAGCAGGAACCAGGAAGAGTATGCTCAGGGGCAGAACTATACTGAATAAACAAAACGAAAAAAAACCTTTACCTGAACTGAAGGCGCTGGCTCTTGAGATTGCCTACCAATAGCTCCTTGGGAAGATGCTAAAGCAAAACTGTCGGTCTTGTGGAATACTGGAGCATCAATCCTCATAGATGCATCTGTCCGATGCGACTGCCATGTCTCTTTTCTGTGATGAGATTCACCAGCTTGCTCATCTCCAAAGGCAGCCCAAGAACAGCTGTCTTTTTGTTCATCTTCAAAAGCATTCCAATCTGTAGCCTGGTTACAACCTGCTGAACTAAAGTCTGCAAAGTCATCAGAGTCCTGAAAAGCAACACTCTCATCTTGAGGTTTTGGCACTGAATCAAAATCTCCAAATTCACTATAATTACTGTTTTCTACCTCAGTAGCATGCTGGAAGCCTAAGCGAGAAATCTTACTGCTAGCATTACATTCTAAAGTGTCAGCAGTCTGATTTAATTCAGCTTGATCTAACTTCGCTGGCTGCTGACAATCAGTACTTGTGTCCCTGAAGTCACCAAAATCATCAGTAGGTTCACTAACTTGCACAGGTTGTTCAGAAGTTCCTTCTAATGCTAGAGCATTTCTTGATTCTTGAGCACTAATAAGAGTGGGGGGAGCACTGCTAACTGAGCCAAAATCACCAAAATCATCATTTGTGTCACGAGAAGCTGCACATTCAGTACTACTTCCATCTTCAGAATCACCCAAATTTTCTCCTGCAAGATGATTGCTCAGGTTTTCGATCTTATCAACTTTGATGTCCTCTGTTTCTGAAAAGTCATCACGCCTAGAAAAATCTTTGCCGTTCTCTACGTCACACTGTTTTCTCCTCTCATTGTTTTCTCCATTTTCAGTAGTGCATATTGAAGTTCCAGTTGCTTGAGGTGTACTAGAAATTGTGATTTCATTATCTTCCAGTGCTGCGGGACCCTGCTCACAACTCATTTCTGAAGTGCAAATCTCTTCCTCAATACGAGCCTCTTTTTCATAGTCATAGTTCCTATCAGATGTGAATCCCATCCTTTCAGTTCTTTCAGTTACTCTGTTTATGATGTTGTTTTCCTGAATGCTTAGAGAGTCTCTTTCATTAACACTGCATATCGTAGGCCCTGTTTCTTCCAAGTGGATTGTTTCTTTGTTTGAGAACGTAGCAAAATCAGCAAAGTCTTCACCTGAGCTAGGCATTGAGTCCAAATTTAGCTCAGTACTATCGATACTAACAGTTTTTAGTCCCTTTGAGTCACTGATGCTGTCTAGATCTTCTGCTCCCTGAGGATTTGCAGGGTCCAATGCTGCAAATCCATTTGTTAGAATCTCTAGACATGAAAGTTTCTCACCGTTACAAGCATCTAGTTGCTCATCCTGGCTCTCAACTGCTGTATCAGTTCTAACGATACCAGAAGGAAAACCTTCCAATTTCCCAGTGTTCCTTCTTTGTTCCCCTCTTTTGTTTACGTCTTCTAAACTTATATCAAAAGCAGTAACTGAAGTTCTAAACTTAGATTTTTCTTTGCTGGTACTAGTAGTCGACATATCAGAAAGTTCTTTAGTGAGACTAGGAAGCTCTGCGATGCAGTCTTTATCTTTAACATTTTTCACAGGGGTGAAAGTAGCAATGCTAGCTACATTGTCAGAATAATCACGAAGTGGGATAAAATGATTTGTGGGTATAAACTCCTCCTTTGAATTACTGTAGTCTGGTGTATCAAAATCAGCAAAAGCTACACCAGCAGGGCTCACACCAGAAAATCCTCCAAATTCTCCAAATTCATCTTCGTCGTCATCAGCTCCATTGTCTAGTGGTGGAGGGGACGATGAGTACATTCGAATAATATCTGGTTCCATTGTTTAGTTTCACTTTGAAGCTAATATATTTCTATAAAAGAGAAAGAAAAGTACATTAGAATTTTAGAGATGTATATCCTGTAAATAAACTAACACAGTCATTTGCAAATAAATTTAGTTTGGCCAAATTTTTTTTTTTTTTTTACTGCTATCACATTTCACTTTATAAATGTGTTTAGACAGGTTAGTGTCAATATTAGATATGAGAAAGGAACCTAAGATACCACTACATAAAACATCTTCAGAATGTTTACCATAATGCTTAACACGTTGACACAGACTGTGATCTTTCTCTACAAAGAAACCACCTAAGGTTTAGATTAGAAGACTGGCAAAATACCATCACAGGCTCTGCTGAACTCTGTGACAACTAACTTTCAGGAGCAGCTTCCAGTGGATGTAGCACAGAAAGGCAGAAAGAATGGAAAGAAAGAGAAACAGCAGATGACAAAAATGACAGCAAGAAGTCACCAAACCCTTCTTCAAACCAATTTTTTTGTTTTAAGAGTCTCAAAGAATCTACCACGAACAGTTCAAGTTTCTTGTAAACTACTGTATGATCATATGCTCAGAAGACCATGCTGAAAGGCCAGAAGAACACGAAACGTGTTGACCTGTTATACAGCAAACCAAGGCAATTACATTGAGTTTTAATCCACCCGTTCTCTATTTGCTGTCGCCAGTGATTCATAAAAACAGCCAAAAATTACCCTGGTCCATCTTATCCCACAGTTATTTGTGTGCTCAGCTGATGTGTGATAGAAATTAAGCCATTTGGTGGTCTACACCTTAAGAGAGTTAAGTACTTAAGTCACCTTCCAACAGTAGCTCCAAAGACTTCTAGAGTCTGCTTCTTTAGGTTTGAAACAGTGAAGGAGGGGAGGAAGGAAGTGCTGCCATCGTTGCTAGCTATGATCTGCTGTCCTACCGTTTAAGTCACTTGTTTCCAATCCATGGACTTTTATTAGATCGCAGTGTCCTTTGGATTTCCTAACTCTGAGTCAACATGTGCTGTCTCCATAGCTGCTGTTGCCAGTCCGATTTGTCTTATAAGCCACTAGTGGGGAAGTGCTGTTACGAGCACCATTAGAGCCTAGAGCAGAACAAACCTCTCCATCAGAGCTTATCCTCAAAAGCAGATCGGAGCAAGATTATCCATAAAACATGTAAGCCCAAGTCACTAAATCACACACACAAAAATATTCTCATGTCCTAGATAGAAATGGACTCTGTCTTAACACTGCAAACTATTATATGCCAGTCAAGATATGGGCTGAGAATTTTCTTTCATTGAAAAAGGGTTTCAATTTTTTTTTTCAATACTGCATGTAATAAATGTAGCAATAACTACTACTATTTACTTATTCAAAATTGTACATATCACTTAACCAGTTTGTACTTCCACCTTGCAGCCCTTTCTTAAGGAGCGGGCTACAATACAGCTCGTTCCATTTCACTTGGCATTTGTTTATGAAGATTAGTTATGTTGTTATAATTTATTATCTACAGAAAAAGAGGAGAATGGAAAATTACCTAAACTTATTAGCAAATATCTGAACTTCTATTCACTAGAATAAGTACAGCCTTTGAATACTGATTCTGAAACATAAAGATTAAAAAAAGGGTTCCTTAGCAACTCCAAAGCCTTTGGCAAACTACTCTGTATACACACCTGAGCAGCATCCCACAAAGGGCGTAACAACAAGAAATGAAGCACTGCAGTTCTTTGCAGGCACAACACACCACAGCACTTGAGTAGCTGTCAAATTCTCTTCTGCCAAACAACTCTCGGCATTCTCCAGGAAAGTTTAGCATCCTTAAGGTGACTGCAACATACCTATAAATGACCTGCTTCACAGGCTTACTCAGAGGCAACTGTTTAGCAACGTAGTTGAGAGATGGGTTTTACTTTCTACTTCGGAGGTTTCATCTCTCAGGGCACGTTCCCTTTTACGTCACGGTTGAGCTGCTGCTGGTGCCACACGCAAACGTAAAGATCCTTTCCAAGATGACTGGAGCCTGCCTTTGAGTTCACATTGAGCTTATTCCAATCTCTTTGCCTTTCAAGCTTCTGGATTTTCAATCCACTAAATGCAGTCCTAGCATTTCTTTCTTGTAACTACCAGAGCAGTCATTTCTTCTTTATATCCAAATTTCCAAGATCTGTTGTCAACCATCAACACTTAGATTAAACAGCAAGTACATCCGTACTACAACTGCGTTCTGAATATTTTACCGCAGAGGAAGATCCTTATGTTACATGCAACGATACGCCCTGGTAGGAGGGCGCGATGGCTGTTCTTTTGTAGAAAGATGATGGGTTAGGTAGGTGCTGGTATGCATTAGCTGTGCTCATCTCAAGGCACCTTCCCTCAGGAAAAGCACTATTTAAAGCTAGCAAGGAGTTGGCTAAACAGTGACTGGTATTTTATCTGCAACTCACAACTCTTAGGGTCGTGAATCAGTAGCACTTTCTTAATGCTCTGACATTTGTAAGTACAGAGAAGATGGCATCAATGGAAAAGGAATTCATTCCCCTCCCAATTCCTGGACTGGTCCTGGAGAAGGGAAGGGTTTTCATTTGTTTGTTTTTTAAAGAAAAAAAAGAGTCGGCATATTTAGCTATACCGAATCCCCCCTTGTAATTGAATTTGAGTTCATGAAGCTCCAGCTGAATCTCAGCAGACTACAGCACAAATTTAGTATTAAACCTCTCGGAGTTTAGCAAGAACAGATACACCTACTTGGAAATCTCAGCTGACACAAGACTTATTATCTTACCCCATGTGACAACAGCTGATGAGACTGTAAAGGCAAGAAAATAATTACTGAAACAAAAATATTCACCACGCTATTTCAAGGGTTGTGCTGACTGGACATAAACCATCATCCCAAAAGAAAAAGGAGCTTGAACAGAACTATGAAATGGCTGGAAAGAAGGAAGGAGAAAACAAGGGTCCTAAAAACAAAAACAACAAAACCACCACCAGCTTCTTGGGAATAATACTGAAGGGTGGGATAAGTAGCTGCTTGATTCAAGCCCCAGTACTATGATTCAAGCCACTGCAACCTCAACAGTAATTCTCTTATATGATCAGAGGTTTTAAAATTTTAACAGCTTATTTCAGCAGCACAAAGGTAAAACCAACATACCTCTTACATACTCCTTCATAGGCAGAGATGCACAAGCCCTCTAAAACATCTCCCTAAAACCATTTTTAAGAAAGAAAAGATTTAAAAATAGAATAGTTCTACAGACTGCTGATTCACATTGGAAAGAAAAAAAAAATCACATAGGTAAATCTGCAGAGATTTGAGGTAGAAACTCAAATAAAACCCTTAAATATTTCAATTACTTTTAAACAATTAGTCTATAACACAGTACCTGATTCAAAGTCAAATGCTTGCACACTGACATAAGTTAAAGCCAGGAATTCAACACTTTTCATTTTGAAAGCAAGATTTCTTAAGTTCGGAAGACCTAATCTTGAAGCTTTCAGTGCAGTATGAGTAATAAAGACCAACTTTAAATAGCTCCACATGGATACATATCAGATTTTTCTTCTTTAGAAACAGTCAGACTATCCATCAAGTCACACAAGCAATTATAATCAAGTGAAAAGAAAAAAAAAAATCTAGATAGACACGTAACCAGCGTCCCCTCTCCCCAAAACCTTAATCTTATTGATGAGGAGTCAAGTAAGAACAGAAAGAAGCAACTTAAAAAACGTTCCTAACTGGCAAAAACAGGAACTGGCAGCTCTGCACATAGAATATGACATTAAAGTACAGCTGTGTTACTGAACTCACAAAACAAACAATTCCACATTGGATTCCTACGGCTTAAAGATTTCTAAAATCTTGAGAAGTACTTTGTTCAACTGCAACTCTTTTGCTTTGCACTGAAGTAGCTAGTGCCTCTTTGCTATGTGGCCTGACCGAATACCATAGCTTTACGGATGAGAATCAGACAGGGGAGGGTGCTAAGGGGCCTCCTGATTTATGCACAATATAGGCCAAGATTACTCACATTAAATAAAAAGTTGCCATCGTCACAACTCTGATTAACAATAAGGCCAGAACTACTAAAAAAAAAGTTGTTTTTTTTTAAACTACAGCTGAAAGACATATCCTAATAAATACTACAAATCAGAGGCCTTGAATAAGAGCTTTTGAGCCTTCCCATTGAAAAGAAAATCCACCTGTATCTGTTTCACCTGAAGCATGCATACAGGTCTGGAGAAAAAAATAATAATAATTTTAAACTCATAGCTTGTAGAAGTTGTTTCTCACTTGCCTTCTTCGAGATAACCCACTCATATAGTTAATAAATGCCCCACCACCTGACATCACGAGCAGAAACGGATCACAAAAATTAACCCTTAACCTGTAGTGGGCATACTTCCACATATTATCTGTCACAAAAACAATCATACCATCCTGTCAAGAAGATGAGGCCAGTCTCTTCTCCGTGGTGCCCAGCAACAGGACAAGAGGCAACGGGCAGAAACTGAACCACAGGAAGTTCCACCTAAACCTGAGGAAACCTCAGGAACCATCTAAACCTGAGGAAAAACTTCTTGACTGTGAGGGTGACAGAGCACTGGACCAGGTTGCCCAGAGAGGTAGTGGAGTCTCCTTCGCTGGAGATATTCAAACCCCGCCTGGATGCGATCCTGGGCAATATGCTCTAGAGGTCCCTGCTTGAGCAGGGAGGTTGGACTAGATGATCTCCAGAGGTCCCTTCCAACCTCAACCATTCTGTGATTCTTTTCTGTTGCCCATCTATTGTATTGCTATCTAAACCTCAGCTAAGGATAAATCATAACTCAAACAGCAGAGTTGAGAAAGTTCTTAGGGGCAAGGGCAACCTAGAAAAACGACATACAGCATTCAGAAAACACCTAAAGCGAATGATGTGAGAGCAGAAAGCGTTCCACTGGAAGGGAAGTTACCGACTAGACCACTTTTCTTTCCAGTTAAGATGAATAAAAGGGAGGCAAGAATGAACAAGAGTAAGGGCAAGCACAG